AGACCCCACACAAAATCTTAAAGAAAATAAAGAAAAAAAAAAGAAAAAACACAGACCAAGAAACCACTAGGCTGTGCCAAAGGGAACGAGGATTTCCAACCCCCTCACAGTGTGTTCCAACACACTCAGCTCTCATAGGTTTCTTTGAAAAGACTGACTCAGTTCTACACAAATACTTCTAAAACACTGCAGCTGAATAGTTCTGCAAAATATTGAGTAATGCGCAAATTGAACTGCATATTTATAAATTAAAGCGACACTAATTTGAGCCCTTAGGCAGCAGAGACCAGAAAAAGAGAATCAAAATCACATCCCTTCTTTTCCTTTATATTTAAAAAAATGTTTTCTTGGGCCTGCATATGTTTGTAGTTGGCTAATTCACCCATAAGAATTTCTCCTTCACCCCAAGGGGGAAAAGAATTCTACAATTATAGGGTTATCTACTACAAGAATGCAGACAGCATTTTCCTTTTTTTATCCTATATATTATACAAGAGGGACAGCCTCAAAAAAGGCACTATAAATTCTCCATAAACCACATCAGGAATAACTGTAAAGATCTGCTGAAAGGTCTTAAGTGTTCCTGAATCTGTCCCACATTCCTTTACCCCATCTCCCCATAGGACCCTACAGTTCAGCATAAAGCTCAAACCATTCCAGAGGAGCTAAGGGCAAATAAAGACATTTTTTGGCACAGGTCCTCCCTCCCCCATGATTTCCCAGTGAATGCTTTTCACTGTTTGCTACTGAGAAGAGGCTATTAAAGCTGAGAGACTGGACTTCAAAGCTTTCAAACCTTAATACTAGCTTAAGAGTCATCTTTTTCTCAGAACTATCTCTTCCCATCTCTGTACCACAGTGCAACAAAGAAAACAGTATGCAAGCACAGCACTTTAAAAAAAAAAAAATCTTTTTTTTAGCATTTTTCTTCCAGTTACTCAAGATTTCTGAGCTCTTGGGACTTCTTCTATTTGCTGAGGCTGTAACAAGCTTTTTACAAAAGCTTACAAACTGACTACAAGTTTGACATGGGAACATTCAATCCCATCTGAGTAGCCTGGAGACATCTGCCTGAATTTTCAGACATTCTCTTTTGTTAAACAAAATTTTTCTTTTTGGAAGTTTTCAAGCAAACCAGTTTAAACTTGGGATTTGGCAGAGAGAATCTTTTCAGGACAGGACATACTCACATTTCAGAATTCTTCCTGACTTCCCCTGCTTTTTCACTGTTATTCATGGACTAAAAAAACTCCAAACTACCCTCTCCCATTGCCTGTTGGGGTTAAGCAGGAAGGCTGTGTGCCAGCCGCTTCTCATGGCAGGACCTCCTGCACCACGCAATCCTCTACATCTCGGGACACATCCTCAACGTGGCCCAACACACAAGTCTCACACATCACATTTCTGACAATTTGGGAGGCCTGCCTTCACACAGCCCAAAAGGATTTGTCTGATGGGCCATTCCCCATCGGCCAAGGCAGGCTCCTGGTCCTCTGCCTACCACAGGACAAACCTGAACCTTGTGTAAAAATCTTTTACCAAAAGACGGAATTAAACACCTCCCACCGTCAGTCTGAAACAGGCTCCAAGCTGCTGTCAAAGTTCGCCCAGTTCATCCAGGTCTAAAAATAAGCTTGACGTGGGAGTCAAAAGGTGGCCAGAAAAGATGCTACCCACTTCATTCCTTATGCGCCATTTCTTACAGGAACCATAACTGCACTGCTCTGAAGCTCAGAAAGAGCCTTTGATCTTTATCTACACTGGGGAAAATTTCACTTTTAGAATTTGCCTTCAGATTGAGACAGCAAAATGGGCCCCAGACCTTAAAGGCCTGCACTGCAACTTAATGATGGCTTAAACGAGGTTTTTAACTGAACCAAGCAAAGCACTGCACGGTTGTGATTTTTACTCAAACTATGTGAATCTAACTGCACATTCCCAGGGTATTACTTTTTTTTTTTTTTTTGATAAAGGGTCATCCTTTGGGACTCTACTTATGTTTCTGAATTGTATCTGATGAATGCGCAAGATGGAAGAACTTTCCCCTTCCTGATGCATCTAAGGTGCAAAAAGAGCCAAAGTACCTGTGGTCGGGAAAGCAGAATTTGTCCTGCCTCCACATGACATCTGGGCTCAAGCATGGACTCGGCAGTCCTTGAGTGGAAAGGCACTTGCAGGAGGAATTGCAGGGAGCAATTTCACTCCTTGTTACACCCAGTGCTTAAGTATTTGCAATGATTGTAGTTATATATCTTGCACCTCTTGCAACATGGAATTTGTTGCAACACTTCTTTCCCCAAAAGCCTTTCCTGTCCCCACAACTAAGCACACAAATACTGTTCACAGTGTAAAGTCTGTTTTCAGTTGATTGTATCTTTCAAAAAATTACGCTTAGGAGCTGAAATGTTCTAAGTTTGATTTCAGCCCAGAGGTGACTTTCCCCCCTCCAACCATGCAGCTTAGAAACATACATTTGGTTACCCTTCAACAGTGGGAAAGTGAGAAAATAGATGATTTGTCAGTTTAAGACTCTTCCTTTCACGGGTGTTCCTTGGGGAATAGAAGGAGGGGGGAACCACGGGGGCGGCAGGGTAAAAAAAAAACAAAACATGACATGCAAGTGCTACATGGAGGGACTGAGGGAATAGCAAGGTTGGTTCAGTTGTAATCAATTAAATAACTTCCTAGACAATGTAAAACAACTCTACAAAATTAGTCCTTACAGCTCCAGAGAAGAAAATAATTTTCTGTGTTCGGCTGGATTTGGGCTGCAAAGAGTTAGCTCTTTTAGATGATGCTTGATGGGGAAGCAGTCAAAGAGATCTTTGTGTATATATCCATATAAAATTTGGTATCTCTATCTCTGTCATCTCTGTTACCAAAAAAGAAGTGTGGCTAAGAATGCCTGAATGCTACATCAGCATGGTTATCCAGCGCTCTCAGCCTCGAGTCTCTTAGGGTTATTTTGTTTTCACAGGTTGTCTTTTATTTCATGCCCATCATAGGTGGCTGTTTTAAGGGGCTATAGAGAGGTGCTGAATGCTGATAAGACAAATCCTGTATCCTTAATCCACTGCTAAATCACTCTGCCAGGCTTCAAGGGTACCAGACAGATGGAATGCTCCAGGAAACTGCCCACAGGCTGGCTACTTCAGACCCAGCTCATCATTAATACAGAAAGGTTTTGTTCTGGTATTTTAATCAGTGATTGACTGGGAACTTTCTTACATGCTGGGTTAGGTAAAATATCCATATGTCAGAGGTAGTGGGGAAGTCGTGAGGCTGTAGATCATAGGAGCAGTGTGAGACAGGATGTGTCTCAAGGGAACCAAGGAAGCCATAAGGAATGTAAAAAGTCACAGGGTTAAAGCCACATTAAGACAGCTGTTATGTTAATGAGAGTTCTGCTTTTCTTCTAGCTGTGGGTCATTGATTTAGAAAAATATGAACAAGGCCTTTTTCATTTTATCGTATTTTTCCACTGAAGCTAACATAGCCTAAAACATCATATCCTAGGTCCCATTTGTCTTGCTAAAAGAATTTGTGAAGAAAGTGAAAGAAGTTATCTTTACAAAGTTTGTGCAGGGACGATTCCCAGGGCTTGATTTGGTCTTACCTGGCCCAAGTCTCTATACAAAACTGTTCTGGAAGCATTTCACTTAGCAAACAGTTAAGAAAAGGCATAAACCCCAGAGTTTGCCTTCCAAATTCATCTGTACATCTGATTTTCTCTCACAGTCATAACAAACACTTACAAGAAATGCGGTGTGAAGTCTTCTGCAAAAATAGTTAGCAGGTAACACTGAAGAAGTCTGGACCTTTCAAGACAGATACTCAATAATACAGCCATGCTGCAATAGACATGCTTGTCTTTAAAAGTCAGAAAGATATTTTGTATTGTTTATTTCAGTTTTCAGAGTCTGAATGCCTCAGGCTGAGCTTCACAGTTCAAAACATAAAAACAGAGTTTCACCAAAGCAACTAAATTCACCTGCATTCTTGGTTGGATCACAAGTTACCACTCATTTCTCTCCCTTGGTTAGACCACAAGCTGCAACATTTTGCTTGTCACTCAACCACCCATTTGCTTACAAACACTTGCAACTCAGACTGATTTAAACTGGGCGTGCTTCTCCAAATGACTCTTAGATGTTAAGTAGTGAAAGAACAGCAGAGGATCCTGCCTGCGGTATTACACACTTCACAGAATGTGCTTCTGTGTTGTGAAATAAAGTAAGGCCTAACCTGAACTTGAATTCCAGGGTACAGTTTATTCCAGAATTATTTGGCTGCTATTCACCCATTTTTTGGGCATTTGAAAATCCAGGTTCATGCTTTTTTAAAATTTAATTTAAATCAACCCCACGGTTTATTCCTCCAGCACATTAGCTTGTTATAAACAATCCAGATCTACATGAAGTTGTGAAGACCTAACAGTTATTTCAGGGTTTATTTTCTTTTGAATTAAACTGACAGTGGGTATAAAAGAGATATTACAAGGTTTAAATTAAGTCAACTTCAAAGGCTAACCTAAAAGTAAACTGTAGATACTGCACCAGTAACCCTGCTCACTTGCATGGCTCTACAGACACATTGTCCTTTTTAAAATGTTTTTCTCTCCTCTGTTAATGCATGAAAGACCCAAACAACAACAGATGAAATCAGTTAAATAACCATAAACTGGCACAACAGCTGACCTGATTATATGCAGAGTGCTGTCAAATCCATAAAATAAACAAACTTCTTCTCCAAAGGCTCAGTACTATATTCATGGTAGGTATGGAACAGTTACTGGGGAAAACACATTTTTTTCAAAGCAGTTGTCTTAAACAGTTGGAAAACCAACATCCATGTACAGATGCAAAATACCCCTAAGGTTGTAAACAATGTAGCTTCACGTGTTCCTTCTGCCCCAGAGTAGAACTGTGTAAGAATATAGAAAGATCAACATGCTAATGGAAGAAGAAATTCCATTTGTTAGACAGCTTGTAAATACATACCTGGACACGAGCCTCTGTGAGTTTGGCTCTTTGCGCAAGTTCTTCCCTGGTATAAATATCAGGGTAGTGTGTCCTCTCAAAAGCTCTTTCCAGCTCTTCCAGTTGCTCTGCTGTGAAGGTTGTCCTGCTACGACGCTGCTTTCTTTTTAAAGGTAAATCTGGTTCTGAATCGATGTCAGAGCCTTCATCAGACTGGGGTGCTGATGCTCAAAAAAGAAAAAAAAATGAAAGACAAAAATTAGCTTTAGTTGAGGGGGCGGAGGGGGAAGCAAAATATTGTATCAACTGATGATATCTTGTTACATGGAAAAGCTCCTTTTGCACCATGACTCAGAACTGAGTTGGCAAACTTCAAAAAAGCCAAAAAGTGAGAAACAAATCAGACAGTTAAATGTTACATTGTGCAAATGTGCCCAAAACAAATAAGAATTGTTGAAATTTTTACTAAGAGTCTAGCACCTATTCCTGGCCCAAAAATATTTAAGGATCTCTAGAAACTTTTTAGGGTAAATGAATTATTGGATTTCTGTGTTTTAACTCCTCCAGGAGTTAGTAAAAACTTGAGCAGTACTGCTTAGTCCCAAGAAACCAGACAAGCAATATGGCCTTGATCCTTTTCCTGAACTAGTGAACAGGTATAAATTTTGTCACACCAGTGTGCATGTTGTAACTTAAACATTCTGACTCTATAGACACATGTCCATGAGACCCTGTCTGTAGATCCGTTACTAAAACATTATTGCTGAAATGGTTATGGAAGTCATTACAAAGGTATGGGCAGCACTACTGAAGAAATTAGTTCTCCTATACAATAAAATATTTACTTCATGTCATATATATTTTTTGTCCTACACTCAGAACAGTATTTTACACACGCTTGTGTTAGTGTGACTTAGCATATTCAAACATTCCTTCTTGTTTGCGACTTGCTTGCCTGTCTTAGGACCATTTAACATAACCTTAGGATAGGCCAGACAAGTATTAATATAAAAAAAAAATTTGAGACACGTTGCACAAAGTCCGGCAAGGACAGCTCAGAGCAATAGTTTGACTTGACTCTTCCAGTTACTAAAGCAAGGAGACTCCAGCATATGTGGTGACCAGAGCTGAAACACAGACTGCATGCCTGGTTTCATCATTATTCCTGCCAACCTTGGGAGGTTTTCCAGCACAGAGCACAGCTACACACAGATGTGCTGATGCCCAGCCTCCAGGCAACAGTCCAGGACACGGCTGTGAAACACCCAGGCTGCGTTGGACCAAAGGCCCCTCGCCACACCCCGAGTCGGTACTTAAGGAGAGTCAGCAAGAAACAGACCACCTACAGCATGTCCACGGCCCAGGAAGTGGCTACCAACTCCTGTGATCAGCAGTTTAAAGATAAATCAAAACCTAAACTCTTACTGGGTTTCAGGGATGTGGAGAGAACGAGATTACACACATAGAACCAGCTCCTGGCATCGCTGCTTGTTCCCCCTGTGCTCCCTGGCAACCAAGTGAACTCCAGCTACAGCCCAGCTGCAGCTGAACCCATCGCTGTAGCTGTGAAGGCAGCAAAGCCTCCTCCAATACCAGATCACATTCTCTTTCTCCAACAAACAGTAATGAACCAGAAGAGTAGACTTCCAAAGCCAGTCTTCACTTGCATCAGCTGCTGAGCCAGGCAACAAGCATTTCTTCTTGCCTGAGCCTTCAAAGGAAACCACCTAAAGAGGGCAGACGCTCCCCAGTGATGCTTGAACTGCTTGTTCAGTTGAAATACAAGCATTGCTTCCACTGCTTCAATAATGCCATATAAATTATTGATATAGATATTGATTTAAAATAATCTTATTAACTTGATTTATTTGGAAGTAACTGAGAACACAAAGCCAAAAAAGAAATCGCTGTTTCTCAAGCTCCAGCTAAAACCCCCACCACGTTCATTTCTGGCTATCTTACATTTCCAATTTCACTCAAGCTGTTTGAACTAATAAATACACCTAATCTGTTTACTTAGTCTTACAGCATGAGAAAGATAAAGTGCTTTTTCAGACAATTCAGCTGAAGAATTTATGAATTTCTGCATACCAAAAAAAAAGAACAATTACTGTTGGACCAGAGGCTCTCGTGTGAAAGCTATCTTCATGGTCCAGACACCATCAGTATCTTGGATTCAACACACACAGGACATCAGCAGAAACTCCCATAGAGCTTCAATGGGAGCAGCTGAAGAGTTTATGAATTTCTGCATACCAAAAAAAAAAAAAACAATTACTGTTGGACCAGAGGCTCTCGTGTGAAAGCTATCTTCATGGTCCAGACACCATCAGTATCTTGGATTCAACACACACAGGACATCAGCAGAAACTCCCATAGAGCTTCAATGGGAGCATCAATGTACTGTGAAAACATCCAACTCCCAGAGTTTCTTACTTGCGTGGAAGTTTTGCCCCAAGTAAGACTGGATTAAGCTGTTCCAGTTCTTGAGAATATTGTCCTCAAGAACAAAGGGGAATCAGCACAAACATCCTATCCCAAACAGTTCAAGTTCATTCCTTATCAAACAGGCGATCTAGGGTAAATTAATTCCTTATGAAACAGGTAATCTAGGGTATCCCAAAAAGAACATAACACATTATCTGAACTAGTGACAAATCTCAAATCTTCGCAGCTGGGGTCCCAAGTGACACCTGCGTTCCTCAGCGACTGCCAAGTTACAAGCCTCCAGGATGGCTTCATGCCGTTGTTCAAGATTAAAAACAAACATAGGATATTTAAAATATAGTTTTTCCCTATATTAGCTTCAGATACAAGTCACCCACCTTCAGCAGAACAGCTATTGCTGACAAGCTATTTCAGTGGAGGAGAGCCCACCAGCCACACTGGCAGGGGCACAATGGCTA